GCTGTGATTGGTTCGGCTCTGCGCTACTTAATTTGGATTGGCTGACCTTTTTTTTTTTTTTTTTTTTTTAAGAGGACAAGAGCGGCGAGGTCTATCGCGATAGTTTAATTTCTCTATCGAGTAAAAGTTATATCGCGATACATATCGTTATCGTTCTATCGCCCAGCTCTATCCTCAGCACTATGTAGCATCTTTACTTTCCTTTGTTTCCTTGACGTGATCGTGACCCACCACAATTAAATCTCAACCACTGACCTTTGCTCTTGCCAAACAACCAGAATTACCACTTTCCTCAGTTTGGCCTATCAGTCAGGCATTCCATCTTTAAGGTTTTTTTGAGGATAACGGATGACAGAGCTTCAAAGGGAACACCTGGTCCCAACAGCCTGTCACATTTCTTTCTATTTCAAGTGCTCCACTTTCATTCCCCAATATGAATAAGTGTGACTGGCTAAACAGCTTACAGAACAATCTGTGGTTACAAATGGCTTTTCATCTGCATCTTCTCCTTTCTTTCAGACAGTCACTGCTGCACTCACTGAGCTCCCCCCCCCTCTACATCACAGCACCTATGGATCAATAGCTCATACATCTGCCCCAAGGTTTATTAACTGCCATCTGTTACATCTGAAAGACTGAAAACATTATTAGGGCTGGGCCATATCATACTATACCAATGCATGAGTTAAAATTACCTACCACGCAAATAAACAAGACAAGCCCAAACACTTAGAGCAAGAGCTTTGTCAATAGTATTGAAGTAGTTTGCCTGTTTACAAGAGGTCAGACCGCCAACAAAGCACAATTCTTTGGCTGTTTCACCTCTTGAGGGGGAGAAAAATAAAACAAATCATATAGAAAACCAAAAACACCACAGACAACAAGTACAATCAAGTATGACAGCATGCAAGGAGATATTAGCAACTGGTGATGTGTGACCCAAAAGTAAACGAACCAATGGCACATCACTGGAGCACTCGCTAGGTGCACTCAATATGACAGGAACAAACATTGCATGGAAATTAAGGATGTAGTTAAATGGTGGAAAAGCAGGGCTTTAAACAGCGAGTTAAAACATCCCAGACTTAAGCTGCATCATCTTATATAATGCTGTGTCACTACAATTGCACTGTAATAATGCTGGTATTGGCACTCTGATAAAGCCAGACTTCAGTTTAGGTAGTCTGTCATCGATGACTGTAGATTACTGGGAAAGGATGGAAAACGCCCATCATTCTGTGTTGCAAACACCAATAAAACTTAGTATTTTTTTCTATATTGTCATAAATATCATTTTAGTAAATTTCCTTAAAACCCCCATTATCTATGAAGAAAATGGCTGATTTTAATCTACTATCCGGATAACATTCCTAAGAAAAATCCTTTAAATATTCTTTAGCTGTATTTGCACTTCTCAGTTTTTCATAATTTAAGTTCAACAACTACTTAATTATACTTGTATGGGTTTATATTTGGGATTACATACATGTCTATTAACCCAGGACATCACTCCTTATGTATGCATCCTTTTCTTTTGCATGTAGTAAGTCAGAAAAATCTTGAGCTCAAAAGCAGGTCACCTCCATGTCGATGCATACTACCTGTGAATATTCATCACCAAGAAAAACAGCTACACAAAATTAAATAAAAGAAAATCTAAAAACTAAACTAAACACAGCTGAAGAAAAAAATGTCACAAATCTTGTCCACTCAAGTGCTGTGAAAACTACAGGTTAAATGACATAGGATAATACCTTGCATGTAAGGGTGGTGCAGGGTATGTACTACAAGCACTAACAGACTGCAGTAAGAATTTTCAAAAACACAATTTTAGAGGGGGAAATGAGGCTAGAGGAATTGTTTATTTGTGGACGGGACACAAATGTGCTACTGGCCATTTGGTCTGGCAAAAGTATTTATTTAAAGCTTACAGAAAACCAGCTATGTTACACCACGGTATTTATTTGGTAAATGGAAAAAATGCACTAAATCCCCTGCTTAAACAGCAGTTGCGTTGTGTGTTTTGTGGAAGAAATTTATATCAAATCAGTCCACAACCCCATCAATGCTGGCATTATAACTAATGTCAGCAGTTTGAAAGAATAAAACGGCCAAATCTCAGTCATATTACAGATTAAAATATCTCATGGATTGCATTACTGTGACACTTCTCATGACAATTGTGACTGATCTGAGGACCCTGATGATGACAACCACAAGCTGAAAGCATTACTTTCACAACAAAGCCCCGTGTAAGCAGGTGCAGTTGTATCAAAGGTCCCTGCTCTGAGAATGGCAGTTTCATTTGAAATTTAAACTACTCAGAGAGGAAAATAAAGCAGTCGAGCTGCTACCTGGAATCTGGGTGTTGATACAAAGTAAATTTTATAATGCAATTCTCATGCAATCGTAAATAGCCATGTCACCTCCAGGCACTGCCCATTTGGCTTTTGGGTTGGGTTTTTTTGGGCCACTTATTGGTCATGTGATAGATGCACATGTACTGTGAGCATACACCCACCTGCCTAGCCACGTTTCTAGGACACTGCCATTATCAATTGCCAGTAAATCCTAAAAGCCAAATGTGCATTAGTGTAGCAGTTAGTGCTGCTTGATTCATTAAGGGTTTTTATTCATGCATACTTAGCCTATCTGTATTATGTTTTGTGTGTTGTAAGAGTCACAATAAAGCCCTCATTATCTAGAAACCTTGATACATCTGCCCTAAACCTCATACTGATAAGTAAAAAAATATGAGCTAAAGAGGAGAAAGGTGACTAGTACTGGAACCCTAACAGAACCCTGGCTATCTGGGCCTTTATTTTCACGGTCACACTTTCAGCATCAGCATCGCCACGGTCGAGGCGGCCCACGAAGTCCTCTGAGGGGAGAGAGAGAGAGAGAGAGGGGAGCTCACACACCTCTAACCGCTAGCGGTTATCTTCTGCCAACTCCAGCCCCTAAACTGAGACGGCGTACAGAGTGGGAAACCAACGCAGGGGTGCCTAACACTCACAAGGCACTGGAATTAAAAATAACGTGGCACGTTTTGCACTCACCTACCTGATAAAAGAGTAGACAGAGTCCACTTCCCTTCTCGGCTAACGCTGGCTTGTCCCCGTGGCTTGTGTTGTTGAAGCTGTGCGAGGCGGGAGGCACGCGCAGACGACAGTTGAAGGCGGAAAGTGGCTCACATGCGCGCAGCGGACGGCGGCGAAGAGATTGGGAGACTGTCCTTAAGCCCAGTTCTTCCTAGACGACCTGCTTCCCCTCGGTTTCGAAACAGCTGCGCGTGGACGGATTTCGCCTTTCATAAAGCCACGGGAATGACGCTCATCAGGACGCATGCCCACATCGCCCGTGACGTCGGGTGCCTATGTAAGCTTTCGCCCCACCTTAACCAATCAGAAGCGACTTAGAACGTGACGCAGCCCAGACTCCCCCCCCTTCAAGGACAGGTTCTGTAATTATAACCCCGCTTGTATAACCTGGCTGTAAGTTTTCTGCAGCCTCCTAAACAATTAAAACGAGCTTTCGGGGCTCTGGGCTTGTATTGTGTATTTAGGGTTCTGTGGAGAACATCCTCACACAGAACATCACATCCTTGGGAACAGCTGTGTTAAGGACCAAAACGCTCTTCAGAGAGTGATCCGTACAGCAGAGCACTGCTACAGGATTGCTCTCCCTCCACTTCAGGACACCTACACCAGGAGATGCCGGACTAGAGCAGCGCAGATACTGAAGGACCCGTCCCATCCTGGCAACAAACTGTTCCAACTTCTGAAATCATCCGAGCTAGGACAGAGAGACTCAAGAGGAGCTTGTATCCCCAAGCCTTCCGGGCCCTAAACCATAACATCCCCCCCCCAACACCACACACGCCCGCTCTCACACAGCATCCATAAGTGACTGAGACAGGACTCTCTTCTAGACACCCACCGGCACAATGTACATTTCAAATTCTTTTTTATTTTTAAATATGTTCATATTGTCTGAGTAGGAGTGGTGCAGTGAGCTCAAGGGGGCGGTACTGGGAGGCAGGTGAGCCACAGGTGGTGGCGATTATGTGATGACAGTGTCTTCTTTCTGTTTGTTTCTGTTTGAAACATTGTGTGTATCGCATACTTCACATTCAGATTGTCTGTTCTTATTTAATTCGCTTAATGTACAGAATTCACCTGCTTGCTGCATACAATGCTACTACTGCACATTCACCTAATGTATATAATATATAATGTTCTTCTTCTCTCCCCCTTTTTGCACAAGTCGAGGAGTGTGTCAGGTTACATTTCACTGCGTGTTGTACTTGTATAACTATGCATGTGACGAATAAAGAATCTTGAATCTTGAACTATCTTGGACTCATCATGAGATCCCTGCTTTTGCCACTGTGTTGTAAAACTTTATGTTTTACAACTGATAAATATGTCTAATTACTGACTTCAATCCCAGCTTTGGCCCTTAACCAATTCCTGAGAAAATCAATCCGTGCTTTTTAGCCTTTCATGTCACACATTACAGTGATGTTGTGCAACCTGTTCACCCAAAGCCTGAATGTTCAATCAATAAATATGCTGCTAAATTAAATATGTTCATGTCATTGTCTTCCCTTTTGTGTTAACTTGATCTACTCTGCACATTAATAAGCACCACTTAAAATAATAATTTTACTGTATTCAATTCTATTGTTTAAGTGGGTGGGCTTGACATCATCAGGTTAGTGGTCACTCTGAGGGATCGTATCAAAGTATCAGTGTGACCCCTGTCAGGCTGAGGAACGCATTATGCATGCAGTAATAGACAGTATGATCAAGAAAGACTGGAAGAATAGTCGTAATTGCATAAGCCGGGTCACACAACAGGACAATGCTCCAAAGCCAGCATGTAACACTAAATACAGAGGAATAGAAATTGACTTTTTATAATGAAAGATTTTCTGAATTATCATTTGAATGCACTGGTTAACCACAATAAAGGGATGCAATAAAGAGAAGAAGTCGCACCTGTAGACAGCATCTTTAATTACCTGACATCACAAAGGTCCTACTGTACTGTACATGACACTGTGGCACTGTGGAGTCAGCATGCTCACAGATACTAAAGAAAAGGTCTTAGTTTGATGTGTCTTTCTTCACAGTTGTGCAAAGACTCATTTTTGTAATCTGATCAGCAAACATAATCTTCCAAAACAAAAATAAAAAAAGAAGAGAAACATTTAAATATCCCAAATTCCAACGACGCTTACTAACCATTTTTTTTTAAAAGTGATTAACATTGAAATTTCTTAAACAAATATTGAGCACTGGTCCTATTCCATCACTTGGTGGAGCACAGATTAGACCAACACAATGCATTAGATATAATTATTAACTTTACATGTATATACATATACACTGGTTTTCTTCAGTGGTATATCAGGTGCAGGTATCTACAGTGCCTTTATTTCAGGCACATATAATACATAGTCATAAAACTGTAGTGCAAGCTAATTCCACATGACATATCTGATGACAAACATGCTTTAGTTCATGTCTTTTTTTTTCACTGTGATTTTTTTCTCCATCCAGTGCTATAAAAAAATCTGAGGAAACAGCAGGCTTTTCCATATGTGAGTGTATATACTGTATGTTATTGTTAAAGTTAGTATCCATGTAGTTTGTCAATTTCTGTGAGCCTCTTCGTTCCTTGTGGCTTTTGTCCGCTGATCAAAGCACAATCAGCATGTCTGTTGAGCCACCGAGGACAAAAAAGTCATCCAAGAATGTCTCCTTTGACATGAGGCAGTTTTTGTAATCCAGAAACAGTCACAAGATACCATTAAAAGAGTGTGGCGAGAAATAGAAAAACCTCTAGTCCCTGCATCTTCACTGGAGCTACATTATGTATCAGGGTGTCTTACGTTATTGTGGAGTCTGCGGCATTGGGTGGAGTGCATGACTTTGCTCTGTTTGTATGCGAGTTGTGCTAATGAAGGAAAACAGCTGAGGACGTCCAGATTCTTATATCACATTTTCAAACAGCTGCATGGAGTTCATGATGTTCTCGTCCTGCAAATAAAACGATAAAGAAAAAACATCTGTCAGCAAATTCAGAAGGAAACAAATGTTCACGCTGATTAGGTCAAAGTTTCAGATATAACAAATGGCCATGGTGGCACTGTTTATAGCCAAAAGAACTGAGTCATTATCAGCAACTGCGAATATAAATCTTCCACCATGTCATGTTTCTTTATAGGGGCACAGATTAGAGACTGAGCTTGTTTTTACAAATATCTACTAGACAACTAATTTCAGTTTTTTGATGTGCTTGATAGAGAAGAAGACTGAATGCAGTCAACTGAGGCAATGCTGTATAGAAGAGTGATGTGAGACACTGAGAAAGTCATGCAGAAAATACAGAAAATGAAATCTAGGGTGTACTTAGAGCCCTAGAAAAACATTCTTTTTCACCAAACTTTATATTCAATGACACTTGAACTGGTGTTTGAGACCACTAACTAAGGAAAAAGATTTACTGAGGTCATCGATCAAGTCATCCCCTGGTGGTAATCCATCTATTACACACAGCCTGTTGGGGAAAAGCAGCAGCATTCAGTCTATTGTTTGTGTTAATTCAAAGTTCTCAGATTGTAATTCTTTTGCGCCTTAGTGTTATCGGTATTTTTTTTAAAAATTGTGTGTAAATAAAGCATGCTACAGTACGTCTACAGTTTGAGTAAAATAACTGGAACACTCTCTGCTTGTTACGTAAATGCACTGGCTTGAATTTTCCATTTTTATCTCTGTTGATTGAAGCATGTTAAAACAGCTGCAGAGCTGCATCAGAGGCACTGACCAATATTTGAGTTTGGGGTAAACAGCACACACAGATGGTCTCAAAATAAATAATGACTCATAATCTAAAAACCCAGTGTTTTACACCAACCAAAACACAAGATAAGTTAGTGTACATACTTTGACCTCAACTACTTGTGAAGTCGGTAAGAAAACTGACATCCACGAAACTGCGCATACAATCTAAAGAAAATTTTGTGGTAAAACAGTTAAGAAACGGGGTCAAAAGTCAATTAATTGCCTCATTACAAGTTTTTACTTGCTGGTAGTGAGTGCCAACACTCAAAACTACCCTTTATCAGGAGATAATGACTTTTACTGTTGCCCAGTTAACAATTTACAGCTTTTGGAGGTGTGTTTTAAAATTTCTTTCTTTTCCAGTACAGAGATGTCTTCCTGGTAAGGCCCACTGACTTTACTGTAAAAGATCTAAGAAAAAAAAAACTGTGTTTATGTCAAGGTTGTCTAGCAGACATAAAAAATCTGAAAAAGTAGCCTGCCCAAATAACTAGATGATGAGTAAACACTGTTTTAGTGTTTGTTAACATTGTGTAGATACTGACTGTGACAAATTAAACACCAGGAGCTTAATATAGCAAAATACAGAGGAAGTGCTTTCCTTCAGAGAATGTTCATGATTAAGGATATTAGTTTATAAACATTTTTCAACCAAAATAGTGTACTGATATGAGGAACATCTGGTTCTGGTTATTAACTGCAGAGATATCTTTGAGGATGTGAAGCTGAGTTTTTATCACTGACGTTTTTAAGTTCATGAATTGGGTATTAAAAAAGGAAATTAGGTGTAATCAGGTCTCTTTTCCTTACAGTACTGACTGTGAGAAAGAAGTGGAGACACATATAGAAGAACACAGGATTAAAGGTGATTCAAAAATAAACACGCTATAATTAGTAAAGGCAAAGTCCGCATATAAATACAGAATATGATCATTACAGACTAGAAAGTGTAATATTCCTCCAAAAATAACATGTCAGGGTTTACAATATGTGTGAAGGGAGATAATACTAGTCAGTGTGAGTGCCGTCATGCTGTAGCTGACATTGAACCAAGAACCTTGATCTACTGCAATACTGTAATTGTGATTTACACTGACTGGTGTGTGGGACAAAAAAGTGTGCATCACCTTCTGACAGGTCTCAATGAACTCTTCAATAGTCACTACACCATCTCTGTTCCTGTCCATTTTCTAAAAAAACAGAAAAAATAAGAAGAGAAAGCAGACATTAGTGAGACAATATTTACGATATTTAACTCTTAAGAGACCAAAATGAATGAGTAGGGTCATTTCCAACCAAATTATATTTTACAAAGGAAAACTTTTCATAAATGGCTCTGTTTGCGTTTATACCTAGACGTTTGTCTTTATCTATGACAGATATTCTAAGATGCTCTAATGTAGTTATGTATTGCTTACAATAGCTTTTATGGAAAAGGGAGTCAATCTGAGCCATCACCAGTCTTTTCATCATAACTTTGGGCATTAGTCATCTGCCTCAAGGCTAAATCTTACTACCCCTAAGTCTGTTATCCATGACTCAATGAAAAACTATAATCTAGAAATTATATTTAATTGTGTGGAATCAGAACCTGAAAGAACTTGTCGACATGTTCAGAGGGTGCTTCATCCCGCACGCAAGGGTAGGTATACCTCCCCATCATGTCATAGATCGACTTCATGATTGCCAGCATTTCCTGAAGAGAAGCAGAGAAGGAAAGGGAGTGAATATAATTCACTTTTTACCTAAAACAGCCAACTGTTTCAGTGTTTTGTTTACCTACTATGAATTTTAAAATGTACAAACTCTATATTATATGATTAAAACGGAAATTTAATTTAGTTGTCCCATCTTGGCTGTTTTTAATAAAAACAAAAAAAAAGCCAGTCTCTGAGAAAGATGAGATTGTATCAGGGCGGATAGATAGAGACAGACAGCCCTTGAGGCTAAATGTCTACATATGTCTATTTAGCTTGAAACTGCCAAAGGCACAATCATCATTCAGGTCACCTATACCATGGAAAACGAGTATAAGAGCTCTCCTTTAAATGTCTGCGACTGGTGTAGTTTCTCAAAGTGAAGCCAATCAACATGCTATTCTCTACAAATACAAACAGGCATATCTGCCCCAAGAAATGGGCTTAATATGCTTATTAACACCTTAATAAGCAGTTAATAAGCATTATTAAAATGCTTATTAACTGTTTAAATAGGACATAATAGTTATTACTAACAAAAATATATAATTCTGCCTGGTTTAAGGCTCCTGATCAGTATCTAGACCCAGAATCTAGATTGAGAAGGTGAGATAGTGAGTGTGTGTTTTTTTTTTTTTAAATAACATTTATCTTCTTGTAAAGCACTTAAGTGTACACATATGAAATCAGTTATTAGTTGCTTCTACTTCATGTCAGTTTAAACAGTTTTGGATGTAACAAAGGTGACAGAATATGAGATTTGTCTTTGTCTTGTTGTCAAAAAAATTACATATCTTACACGCACGCATGCACACGCGCACGCACACACACACCTCTTTGGTGATGTAACCATCCTTATTAATGTCGTAAAGGTTGAAAGCCCAGTTGAGCTTCTCGGTGACCGAACCTCTGAGCAACACTGATAGGCCGATGACGAAGTCCTCAAAACGGATTGAACCGTTTCTGTCCATGTCAAATGCGTTGAACAGGAAGTGAGCGTAGGTGGTTGCATCTGTAGATGAAAGAAGATGCGGATTTAATGTAGTGCTTTTAACAAAGCACCCAAAAAAGCAAAGGAGAGGGAGACCCAGCTTTCAAACATTGTTAACAAGTTTTCATGATTGAAGTTGGGACTTTGGAAAGGCTGTTCCAGAGGTTAGCCTGCGGTTTCAATTCTAAAACTAGTTTTTGTGTGTGTTTTGATGTGTCCTGTTGCAACACTGTTGCAGTGCATTGTTCTTGGGTTGTAAAGCTTCGCTTCGCCTTCAGTTCAGTTCAGTTTTATTTATATAACGCCAAATCACAACAATAATCACCTCAAGGCACTTAGTATTGTAAGATGAAGAACCTACAATACAGAGAAACCAACAACAACCAGACGACCCCCCCATGACCAAATATTTTGGCGACAGTGGGAAGGAAAACCTCCTTTTTAACAGGAAGAACCCTCAAACAGGGGTAAGGGGAGGGAGACATAACACTCTTCCAAAAATGCCTCATGTCATTGTACCCAAATAGATCAATTTTTGTGTCACTTTTCTCCAGAAGGCTTTGACTTGTCCGTGTAGTCAACACCCTTTTAGTCCATGGCGGGAGATTTGCTGATCTCCCGCTTACAGCACGGTGTGGGAATTACTGGTTCGGCACTTTTGTGGTTAAAGTCCTATCTTTTAAATAGGACATTTTGTGTTAAGTTGGGGTCGGCTTCATCCTCTGTGGCCCCTCTGCTTTGGGGTGTTCCACAGGGATCTATTCTTGGGCCGTT